TGGGGGTCGGGGGGAGCTGGAAGGGGTCAATGGGGGAAAAGGGGGGACATATGTAGTACTTTTAACAATAAAGGTTTTTAAAATTAAATTTAAAAAAAAAGAATTAGGCCAATAACTAATCCTAATGTAAACTAACATAAAAGATTCAAAGTAGGCTAAATAAAATTACTTTTAAAAAGTGGTCTGAGTCCATATCCAATTTCCATCAACAGATATTTATTAACAAACATTTATCAGCATCTAGGTTTTAAAACATTATGTAGCCCTAGCTGGTTTGGCTCAGTGGATAGAGAGTGGGCCTGCAGTCCTGGGTTCGATTCCTGTTAAGGGCACCTGCCTCAGTTGCGGGGGATGCAAGCTCAATCCCCAGCCCTGGCCAGCCTTGCAGAAGGCAACCAATCAATGTCTCTCTCTCACATCCACGTTTCTCTCTCTCCATCTCTCCTTCTCCCTTCCCCTAAAGTTTAGGGGAACAATCAACGGAAAAGGATTAACCAAAAAAAAAACAACAACAACAAAAAACACAACACTATGCAAACACTAACATAAAATCATGACATAAGCATTTCTGAGAAAATATGTTCGTTCAGGCCACATCCTGTCACATTAAATAACAGAAAGCAAAGTATCTTCACATCCTTAGCAATGGTCCACCTACAGATCAAATAACCTCTCAAAAATTACATCAACCACCTTCCCCGGTGGTCCTTCTGCTTCTCATACTAATACCAGCATTGGAAGGGGGACCCTTTTTGTATCAAATAGCGAAATACAATAATGAGATTCTCCAGTAAACCCAGACTCGTCTTGCTAAATTAAAAATAGTTGCCTCAATTGCTAACCTTCCAATCCTTGGGATAAACCATTCAAGCACCACAAACACACACACACACACACAGGAATCTATGCGATCAGGTGGTTAGCAATACAGACACGTTGCAGACTTCGGGCGAGCATTCCTATCCACCTTAATGTCCTGTAGTAACGTGACTCTACCAAGAGGAAGCACATTAGTCGTCCCTGGCACTCAGGCCCACATCGCCTGGTGGTGTGACAACACTTGAAAGTGTCCCGACGGAGAGGACGAGATTGTGAAACTATCAGTATGCGATCAAGTGGTAGGCAATACAGACACGTTGCAGACTTCGGGCGAGCATTCCTATCCACCTTAATGTCCTGTAGTAACGTGACTCTACCAAGAGGAAGCACATTAGTCGTCCCTGGCACTCAGGCCCACATCGCCTGGTGGTGTGACAACACTTGAAAGTGTCCCGACGGAGAGGACGAGATTGTGAAACTATCAACAATAAACAGAGCGCATCCGGCAGGCCGTGGAAGGAACCGTAACGATATTCCGAGAAGCTGCCGTTTCTCCTGTGGTTCTGCTGCTCCGGAGGAAGTTGTGAAACCCGCATACATACATACTCCATCCCAAATCCATCCGTGGGGCGGGCGGAGGCTGAGTCATTCCTCGGAGTAACTTTATCCCGATCCTCCAACTCCGGGATCGGGACGAAGACGTCTCTCTCTCTCCCCGTGTCGCCCGCTGAACGCTCGGTTCGGCCTCGGCCCAATTCCACTCCCCGGTTTCTCAAGTCAAAGGCACCCTGAGGCTCAGCTGAGCCCAGCAGGGGTGGCAACGAGTGAGGAGGCGTCCCGCTGGGTTCGGGCGTC